CCCTGCCGATCGGGCCTGGCCCGCCCTGCCCGCCTGCCCTACCTTGCCCTGCCCTGCCCTGCCCTGCCCTGCTGTGGGCGAGGCTGTTCCTGGGGTGAGTGGGTGGGAGGTCCTGGCTCCTGGGGCCGGGCCTTGCCGGCACCCCCACCCCCACCCGCTTGCCCTCACCTAGGTCTTCCTCCATTACCTCCTGGTGTGCCCCTCTCCATTCTGTCCTCTCTCCTCCTTTCCCCTTCTTTTACCGGTGTCCTCTTCCCTTCCATCCATTTTAAAAAGGAAGAAACAGGCTGAGCTCCCCGGTGGGGGACACACCCAGACTTCTTCAAGCTTGGGGAGCAGTCTTTCCCCCAAGTCTTGAGTCCCTCCTAACCTCCAGGGTGCCTGTGCGGGTGTGGGTGAACTTGAGGATAGTGGTTGAGAGAGATAAGGAGCTAGCTCACGTGTTGCAGGGGAACTGTGAGCACCCGCCTCAGTGCTAGGCCCTACCATAGGTTAGGCCACCAAGTCTGACTGGCAAGAAGTGAGGAGTCACCTGCCAAAAGAGATCCATGTGTGACTGAGGAAGGTGCATGTCTGCTTATGGTATGAGCGATCAGATGTTCTTTCATCCTCTGGTGGCTCACACGTGTGAGTAACCTGGATGTGTGACTTCAGCAGGTGTGGGCCTGAGCCTGTGACCATTATGCATCTGCACAGGTTGCCACAGAGCCTGTATGAGTGCAGTCCCGGGTACTCCATGAGGCTCAGAAAGCATGCATGTCAGGGTCTGTGGAGGTCAATTTGGGTGGTGTGTTAGGCTGGGCAAACAGCAGAAGTGTGTGCCGTGTGTGGATGTGTGCTAGCCCTTGGTATGATGCACGTGTTGTCGGGCTGGTCTAGAGCTATGTGAGAGGCAAGCATGTGCAGTGTGCTGGTGTATGTGTCTGTGGCAGGGCTTGGAGCCTTGTCATGGTCCATCTGAGGAAGGGTGGGATGATGAGGTGTGAGGGAGTCCCTGTAAGATGTGAGTGCACAGGGGGCATGTGCAGCCTCTGCTGGAAGTGTCAGAAGGTGTGTTTCTTCATGGAGCATTGCATAAGTCAATTTCCTGGGTGGAATGGATCCAGAGCACCTGCTGCCCTTGCTGTGGGGAGATTGCCTGTCCCTCTTGGACAGTGTCAGAGCCCCAAGCTGTTCTGGCTCTGGGCAGAGGTTTTTGTGTCCCCATGAGCCCTCCCCTGACATTCCTGCTGATTCTGTGGGTGAGGGTGCCTAGCCCATCAGGAAATTCCTGAGACCTCCCCCACTCCCCTCCTCCTCCTCCTCATTTGCCACTGGCTTCCTTGCTCCTCCCTGGGAAGAAAAGGGATGAACTGAGAATTCATGGCTGCTCAGGAGTGGATGCTGGGTGTGAATTTTTGGCATTTCCTTTGGCCAATGCTGGGACCAGCCTGGAAGAAGTTACTGGAGAATTTAGGATCTTAGTTGATACAGCTGATCCAGGATTGTGGGTGGTGAGTCCGGAGCTTTATTTGGCTTTCCCAATCATAGTGGGTCCTGCTTCTCTGGGCACTGACCTGTGGCCTGGACCCGCCCTCCAGCCCATGCCCAATACAGAGGGGGCGGGGGCGGGGAAGAGGGCGGGGCTGCAGCCAGATCTAGTCAGACAGGTGGAGCCACTAGGGCGGGAGTCTGTAAGAGCCAGGCTCCTGGAGAGGAAAGGCTCCGTGAGAGGAGAGTCTGGAGTGAGACTCTGGAGGTGAGAGTCCTGGAAGGCAGAGGAAACCTTGGGACGTGAGTGTTTGGCAGGGGAGGGGAGGAAGCTTGGGCCGGAAATATTCTGGAGGGGATCAGGGAGCTAAGAGTCCTGGCAGGGGAAGATGGATTGAAGGTAAGAATCTCAGGAGAGAAGAATGACTGCTCAGAGCTGGAGGATGGTGTGGGTGAGGAAGGGTGTGGAGGTTCATTCTGGAGATGAGCTCTGTGCTGGTGAGGTGGGAAGGCTCTGGAAAGACACCAGGAATTGAGAGTTCTGTTGTGGAGTAAGAATAGAGAAGAAGAGTTGTGGAGAGCATGGGGTGGTACAGAAGGCAAGTTGCATGGTGAGTAGGTCCCCCCACCAAACTGTCCCCCCCCCCAGATTCCATTAATTCCTTCCTTAGTGTTTCTGTCCTTTCTCAGTGAGGCATCAGAGTTGTCTGGTTGTGGGTCTTGTCTCTGAGTCAGGTGTTGGACAGGGCTGTCTCATGTCCAAACTCCATTCTCCACAGAGACCTTAGCCAGGATGGAGGCTGTTGTGAATGTATTCCGGGAGTTGCAGAAGAATGGAGGTAAGATGCTCTCCACCAGCCCTTCCTTCCTTCTTTCCTGGGATCCCAGGATCTAGGGCTGTGTTCTAATGGGAAATCCCCTGTGAATTGTATCTGCAGACCTGGTGAACCCTCTTTGAACCCTGTGACCTTTCTTGACTCCTTTTGACACTTATTCACAGATCCCCGGATCCAGAACTACCCTCTGATGGGATCTCCTCTGCTAATGACCTCAATCCTCCTGACCTACGTGTACTTCGTTCTCTCACTTGGGCCTCGAATCATGGCTAATCGGAAGCCCTTCCAACTCCGAGGCTTCATGATTCTTTACAACTTCTCACTGGTGGCGCTGTCCCTCTACATTGTCTACGAGGTGGGCCCTGATGCATAGGTTGTAATTCCTGCCAGCACGATAAAGGTGATGGGATTGGGCCAGAGCCTGGCATTCTCTGCTTCCTGGAGAGTTTCAGATCCATTTCTTCAGCTAGAGAAGGGGAGGGATGCTGGGAGAGGGAAACTCTGGTGGTCTAATTCACACTCCTTCCTAGTTCCTGATGTCTGGCTGGCTAAGTACCTACACCTGGCGCTGTGACCCTGTGGACTATTCCAACAGTCCAGAGGCACTTAGGGTAAGTAGGGGCTGGGGCTAGTTCTTAGGTGACCTGGAGGATGGGAAGTTTGGATATGAACTGTGTTTATGGCCCAGTTTAGAGGAGGCTCTTGGAGCAGTGTTGGGTCCTAAGGCTGCCCTGACTTCTTACAGATGGTTCGGGTGGCCTGGCTCTTCCTCTTTTCCAAATTCATTGAGCTGTTGGACACGGTGAGTAGTTACATAACTCATAAGCTATGAGACCTTGAGAGTAGAGGGAGAGTCTTGCCTCTGAACCCTTCCCCACTTTTCTCTCAGGTGATCTTTATTCTCCGAAAGAAAGATGGGCAGGTGACCTTCCTACATGTCTTCCATCACTCGGTGCTTCCCTGGAGCTGGTGGTGGGGGGTAAACATTGCCCCAGGTGAGTGGTAAAGGCTACTGGGGAAGACAGGTGAGTGACAGTCTCACTTCTCCTGACCCTGTTTTATTCTCCTCTCACAGGAGGAATGGGCTCTTTCCATGCCTTGATAAACTCCTCTGTGCATGTTGTCATGTACCTGTACTACGGATTGTCTGCCCTTGGTCCCGTTGCTCAGCCTTACCTTTGGTGGAAAAAGCACATGACAGCCATTCAGCTGGTGAGGGGCCTGCTGGCTTACAACCATCCCCTCCAACATTCCTAGTTTTTCTGTCTTTAATCAAACATCTCACCTTTGGCGCCATCTCTCCCCACTGTTTGTCTCACTCTACCCCCTCCTCCTCTCCAGTTCATCTGTCCTGATCTTTGCCTTTCTTTATCCTAGATCCAGTTTGTCCTAGTCTCACTGCACATCAGCCAGTACTACTTCATGCCCAGCTGCAACTACCAGTACCCAGTCATCATCCACCTCATCTGGATATATGGCACCGTCTTCTTTGTGCTCTTCTCCAATTTCTGGTATCAGTCTTACACCAAAGGCAAGCGGCTGCCCCGTGTACTTCAGCAAAATGGAGCTCCAGGTATCGCCAAGGTCAAGGCCAACTGAGAAGCATGGTCTAGCTAGGCGCCCACCTAAGTGCCTCAGGACTGCACCTTGGGCAGCATCCATCAGTGTCCTTCCCATTACACCTGTGACCAGGGCTTCTGTGGTCAGGACTGAGCAGGGGACTCACCCTCCTCACAGCTGGTCTACAGGGACCACTGCTTCCGTTGTTCCACTTCTGCCGGCCAGCTCTGGGGATGTGGCCTCATTGCCCTCTGCCACTCCGGAACTGGAGGCTGAAAGGGCTGGACACTTACTTTCCCCTTCCTGCCTGAAACTTGGGAAACACTCAGGGCTGGTCCCCACCAGGGTCATGTGGCCTTTTTCCTCACACTGAAGAGGTCAGCAATAATCTGTCACTACGGACCAAGGCTCCCTCTCTCTCCTCCACTCCGTGCTGAAGCAGAGAAGCTTCTGGGCCAAAGATCAAGGGTGGGTGGCCTAGGAATGCAAGCTGGAGAGGCTGTGTACTCATTCACTTGTATCTTAATTAAAGTGACAGAGGAACCTTCTGAGACTGTGTATGTACGTGTGTGGAGAGGGGTGCACAGCCATCTATAAACAGGAGGGATGGTGAAGTCTCCTATAAAATATTTTTAAGTTCTCTGATCACAGTAGAGGGGAGCCCGAGAGGGCTGCTGGGACATAGGCCATACAAGGAGAAGAAAGGAAGACATGACTTTATTAGAAAAATAAAAAACAACTGAGGTGATTGAAGTGATGAGTTTGTCTTCAACGAATGCCCTGGTGGATAAGGCTGCTTTTAGCCGCACTGGCCTTCTCCCGCTCCCGCCGCCTTGCAGGGTCCAATTCAAAGCAGCGCCATAGCCGTAGGGTCTCATCAGCTGCTGCTGATGCCACCGTGGCCCCATCTGGACTCATGGTCAGACTCAGGACCCGGGCTGTGTGACCTGGGGAAAGTGAGAGCAGTGAATATCAATGCAGACACACCTGTGACTTCCCATTCTGATTGAAATATAATTCACACACCATATAATTAATCCTTTTAAAAGTACAATTTAATAGTTTTCAGTATCTGTGTAAAAGTTGTGCAACCATTATAATTACCTAATCCCAAAACTTTTTGGGGGGTTGGTTTCTTTTTGGTACCGGGGATCGAACTCAGGACCTTATTACATTTTCAAGACAGGTGGCAGTACCACTGAGCTAAATCCCCAGCCCATACCAAAACATTTTCATCACTTCTCATTATCCTCTCCCCTCAGCCCCTGGAAAATACTAATTTGTTTTTCTCTCTGCATTTGTCTATTCTGGATATCACATATACAGAGCTATGTAATATGCGGCCTTTGGGTCTGGCTTCTTTCTTTTAATCACTTACCTTTGAGCTCAGCCACCTTGGCCATGGTTGGGTACTTCCAAATAACCAGCTGGTTCTGGGCAAAGCCATGGCCTGAGATGAGCTCCTTGTAGTGCGGAGACCAGAGGATGGAGCATACCTGTGGAGAGGCTAGTGTGGGAATGCACCCAGGGATGCTCAAACCAGAACCAAGTCCACTCTAGTGTGCGGCCCTTTGAGAAACAATTATTCATTTTACAGGTGAATTAATCAGAAGGAAGTCCAATAAATTGCCTATAGTATAGGCAAACTAGTAGGTGACAAAGGGTCAGAGTTTGAAGGGGAATCATCTGGCCCTAGAGCTCGTCTCTACAGTGAAGGCCTTATGTGGGGGAAATTAAAGAAGAGGAAGATGGATTGAGTGCAGAAAGGCTTACCACCAAGAATCTCAAATAGCTTTCTAATGGATGTGAATTATACACTGTACTTGATGAGAAACCATTAAAGGCTTAAGGGGCACAGTACTAGATCACTCATACCAGAGAGTACAGGACAGACTGGAGAAGATAAAAAATACTTGAAGTTCAGTGAGGAAGCCATTGTTGTGGGTCTTCCTTGAGAAGATGAGGCCAAGGAAATGGGACAGATGTGAATGATTTTCTGAGGTCAGAGATCCTGGCGGGAAAGATAAGGTTCTAGTAGGCTTTTTAGATTTCTGAGCAGGTTCTGCCATTCTGAAGCAAAAGTGGAGAAGGAAAAGGGAGAGAAACAAATTCCAGGGAGGCTGGGGAAGTGATGAGTTTAACCTGAGACATAGAGGTGGCAGTGCTTAGAGGACATAAGGTAGGATGCTGTAAGCCAGACTTGGAAATAGAGCTCAGGATTGAGAGCTAAGTCAAAAGCTGGGGAGTGGGTGGACACTGGTATGTACATAGTTGCCCAGGAAGACCAGAAACAGTAACAACATATCTGGAGAGGCTGAAATAGGTAAAAGACTACCTGGGAATGGGCATCCACTGCACTCAGGCAGGCCCCAGCGCAGACATTCCAGATGCGAATGTGGCGGTCACTGGTGCCCCCTCCCGTTGCCAGGATGTTAGACTGCCAGGGACACCATGCTACAGCCTATGTGGGATAAAGGCAGGGTTAGTAAATAGTCAAGCTAGATGAGGAGCTATAGATCACAGGCAAACCCAGTCTAATCTCACCATCCCACTTTTCCTTAACAGTCACCAGTTTATAGCTAAGGGTCTACAAAGGCCTCAACCCAACTCCTCTCTTACCTTGACAGCCCCTTGATGCTGGGTGAATGTTTGCAGAGGAACCCAGCCACCTTCTCCAGGAGAACTAGGCCACACATTGACCAAGTTATCGTTGCCACCACTGGCTAAATGACGTCCATCTGGGGCCCAGCGCAGCCCACACACTTCTTGGCTGTGGCCACTCAGTGTGGCCACATGATGTTCTGCTACCCGAACATCATGGTGGTGGATGTGGCCAGAGCGTGAGCCACTGAGGGAGGGAAGAAGAGATTGAGTTCTGTGGCAGAACCAAATACGTAAGCAAGTCGGAGCTGCCTCACTTCAGGAGTGCATACTCAGGGGCAGAGGTATACAGAAATTAGATTCATTTTGCCATTAAGGCTAGTAAAATTCGCTGACCTGGACAGGATATAGCTGTTCCAACTTAGAGAGCTCACTCGTGCAGAATGACTGGTCATGTTTCGGAGCCGTTTCTGCTGTTGAACATCCCATAGCTGGAGAGAGATCACTACGATTAGAGATTGGGCCTTGGCATTAACATCCTCTAGCTAGGCAAGCTCCCTGGGTCTGGTGTCAATACAGATACAATGCTGGGACCAGTCTCACCTGCACCTCAGCACTGCTGGTGCCCACAGCAAGGTAGTTGCCCTCTTTGATCCAGGCCACAGATGATACATAGTCCCCAGGCTGCTCCATTTGCAACAGCTGCAGGATGTCACCAGAGCTCGCACTCCACAAGTACACACTGTTGTCCAGTGCCACAGCTAGTACATTTCCAGAGCTCCAATCTACAAGGTTCAAGTCTGTGCAGAAAGAGAACATGAGTTTCTTTGTTTGCCTAGTCCCCAGCCCCTCCTTCTCCAACCGTGGGCAAGGATAAAGCAGCACTTACAATAGTCATTTCGGATTTCAGGGGCATCCAGGATCCGGTCTGGGAGGGAAGGAATGTAACGGCCGGTCTTCCGGCTGGAGCCAGGTGTGGTGGTCTTCTGGCTATAGAGCACTTTCAGTCTGTTCTGGTAGCCTGCACAATGGAATAGTCTAGATCCTAGGAAAACTTAACACCTCCCTTCCCCTCAGCCTTGGGTGGAAAAGAGCAGACAGGCATCTCCCTCAGCCCCCGGAGGTGGGCTGACGTGAACCTCCAGGTCTTTACCTTCTGGGGCATTCTGTGGTTTTCCACTGAGCCGAAGGATCTTGGCTTCCTCCACATCAAAACCATTCAGGTTCAAAGCCCAGACTTTCTGATGCTCCTGTCATGTACAGGTGACAGTGAGCAGGATGGTATCCACGTACAGGTCCCATGCCTTTTGCCTTTCTGGAGAACATACCTTCTTGGTGGGTGTCTGACTGTTTTCAGGTTGGTTCTCCTTGCTCAGGAGGAAGCTGGCCACCTCCATCTGGGAAGCACTGCGATGGGGGATATATCGGTCACCTCCAGGTTTGCTAGGGGTGGTCTGAACCTTGGAATTAGATTTGCCTGGGGCAGGGAGAGAGAAGCCAGTCTGACCAGGTTCCCGAAAGGCAGCACAAAGGCTGCTCTCAGTCTCCTTCTCCTCCCCGTTCCACCGGCTCCCACTCACCAGGAGTTCGGCCTGGGGTCCTGCCCGAGCTGTGGGATCTGTTGGCGGCCCGCATAGGGGAGGGGCCCGGCCCCGAAGCTTCTTTGGCTTTGCGCTGCCAGCGCGCGAGGGGTGCATTGGGGATAGGCGCATCCAGCTGAAGCAAGGAATGCAGGTCGCTCTCAAACACGAACTGCGCCATGGCAGCGTCTGGAGGGGGGATGGGGTCCTTGAGTTGTCTCCCGTTGAGCCCTGGAGGGAGAGAGATAACGGTGCTCGGGGACAGCGCAGGGATCCTTCGCGAACGACCTCACAATCAGGAGGCCCTTCGGCTGCACACCTCCAGGACTAGCGCTCCCAAGTTCCCCGACGAACCCCTTGACTTAGCACAGCTGCTCCTCACAGTGCGTTCCCAAGCAGGTTCCAATCGCGACCGGATTCAGTATGACAAGCTCGGGAAGCTTAAACTGTCCGCTCTGAGTGCTCATTGGCGCCTTCAAAACCCAACCGTCGCAACCGTTGCTCTCGCCCATTGGCCTTTATGGCAGAGGGGGCGGGCCTTCCGGGGCAAATCACAGATCTCACGAGAGTGCAGTGGAGGCGTGGGATTTGAAGAGGGAGAGAACGCTGTGGAGCCGGTTCCCGGGAGTTAGAGGCTCTAGGGGTGGGGCCTACGATTCTTGTACGTTCCCGGGTCCTTCTTTCCACTGTGTCCCTTCACTCTGGAAGCTCGTAGAGTCGGGCACCGGCTATTTAAACCTGGGTGATTCAGCCGCGCAGAACTCGTTCACTCAAAGCTCTTGAGCGGACCAGAGAAGGGACGGGAGAGCTTGGAGGGAGACAGCCGGGCAGGGCTGGGGAGAGGGGTCCAGTGGAGACGCTCAGGAGCTGGGAGAGGGCCAGAACCGTTAGAGCGCTGCCCCTAGCCCGGAGCCCTGCTGGGAAGGAAGTGTAACACGTGTTTGTTTTCTTCTTGTTATTTGACAAACTGGGAACTGGGGTGGGTCCGTTAGAGCGCTGCCCCTAGCCCGGAGCCCTGCTGGGAAGGAAGTGTAACACGTGTTTGTTTTCTTCTTGTTATTTGACAAACTGGGAAAACTGGGGTGGGGGGGCGGGGGGTCCTTTAAGATCAAGAAAAAAACCAGGATTCAAATCTGCCCATCTGAAAAATAAGGTTGGAAGGCCCTATGGGAAACACTTGCGGCTTACTCTCGGGCGTATTTTAGATAGCGTCTCACTGTGTAGTTTAGACTGGTCCTGAATTTACTATGTAGCCCAGGCTATCCTCGAACTCATGGTGATCCTGCTGCCTCAGCCTCCCAAATGCTGGGTTTACTGGTGTGCCTCACCACGCCCAGCTTCTCATGGGTCATTACAGTTGTCAGGGATCTTAGAGAGCCAGGCTTACCCGTATCTAAGGGTGCACCCTCTCAAGAGGTGTCTCACAGGTATTTTACAGATGGAGAAATGCGAGGTCCAGGGCAAGAATCGGTCAAAGGTCACACAAAGAATTTTATAGGAATCCAGGTCTGCCTCCCATTTAGTAATGCTCTTGAGCAGGGCGTGGTTGTGCTCGCCTGAAATTCCAGCACTTGGGAGGCAGAAGCGGGAGGATCGCTGTGAGTTTGAGGCCACTTTGGGCTACACAGTTGAACAGCCTGAACTAAACCCTGCCCCCCACTACACACACACACCAAAAAGCAAAACAAAACAAAAAAACTCTAATAGTGACTTGAATAAATTATGTGAACATGTTCAGAGGTGAAGCAACAATAAAATAATCCGTACTATTTACTGACCATCTGCTAACTACTGTGTTAAAACAGTTTACATACTTTTATTTTTTTGGTACCACGAATTGAACTCAGGACCTTGTGCTTTCCAGCAACACTGAGCTGAGTCCCCAGCCGATTATATACATTGTAAAATTTCAGTTATTAATCCCATAACGCCTTATATCTTCTTTTTTTTTTCTTTGACAGGGTCTTGTTATGAAGTTCAGGCTGGCCTTGAACTCTGTATAGCCCATGGCCCAGGCTGGCCTCAAAACTCATGGAGATCCACCCACCTCATTCCTCCCAAGTGCTGGGATTACAGGTATGCTATACCTGGCTATATCCTATTGTATTGAATATAAAAAAACTGGGTCAGGATGAAGATAGAAACTTGAGCAAAGGCACACAGCCAATAACAAGTAGTGGAGCCAGGATTCAAATATCTGACTTAAGATTTGCAATCCTAACAATTTGCTATACTGTTTGGGGGTAGGTTGGAAAAACCTGTTGTCAGCCTCAGGTCAATCCCAGTGATGACAGAAAAAATTGTGTCTATAAGTCCAAGCTTAATATTGGTTTTTATGACTTTTAAACTTGCATGCTTTCTATTTTCAGTTACCTTGGAAAATAAGGAGTTCTTATGGTTTACATTGGAAATTAAAAGCCTCATACACTCATGGGTAGGGCTTTTGAGAGGTGACTGGATTATGGGCATGTGGTGCTCATCAGTGGATTAGGGCACTGATGAGTTATAGCTCACTGTGATTTGGGAGGTGAAGCCTGGTCAGAGGAGATGGGTCACTGGAGGTGTGGCCTGGAAGGGTTTGTCTCCTTCCTCTCTCCCTTGATCCATCTCTCTGCTTCCTGATTGCCTTACCATGAGCAACCTCCTCTGCCATGTTCCCTCTGCCGCTGCCCTGCCTTGGAGCCAGTGGACTATGGACTCGACACAGTAGGAGCCAAAATAAACCTTTCCTCCTTTAATTTGCAATTGTCAGGGTATTTTGTTGTTTTGATTTTTTGAGACACAAGTCTTGCTGTGAAGTTCAGGGTGACCTTGAAGTCACTGTGGAGCCAAGGCTGGCCTCCAACTCCCAGCGATCCTCCTGCCTCAGCTTCCTGAGTGCTGGGATTACAGGTGTGCACCACCACACCCAGCCAGGGGTCAGGTATTGTCTCAGTGACAAGAAAAGTAACTAAGACAAGGGGTTTGATGCCCAAGTGATATTATTGGGGAATTCCTTAACTCCAGAAAATTTAGAAAAGGTAGTATAATATCAGTCTTAAATGTTTACCTAAGGAGTTTTTTGTTTTTTTTTTCCTTTTTGGTACTAGGGATTAAACCCAGGGGTACTCTACCACCCCAGCCCTATCTATCTATCTATCTATCTATCTATCTATCTATCTATCTATCAATCTATCTATTTTGAGACAAGGTTTTACTAACTTGCTCAGTCTGATCTTGACTTTGAGGTCCTCCTGCCTCTCTCTCCCAGGTAGCTGAAATTACAGGTGGGGACCACCCATGCCTGATTTAGTAGATTGGATTTTTATCTGCCAGGCACTGTAGAACCAATAGGGGTTTTTGTGTGGGGAAGAGCCAAACAAAACATCAGAGGAGGGAGTGTGGCCAGCAGTTTGCAACTTCAGGAGAAAGAGTAATTGTAGATAAGGATATAGGTACAACCTCAGGGAATCTGTATATATAAAACTAAAGGAATGAAGGAAGTCAATGGAGATCATATAGATAGGGACCTTAAAAGTAAGGTAACATATCATGTATAATACAATATAGAATGGTAAGGTAGGTGACAGAATAGGTCAAATTTGGCCATTGGGAAACAATCCTTGATGGCTTTGGAGACATCAGGATCAGGAAATTGGGTGTTAATGACCCATTTTAAAAGGGGCTGCAGGAAGAACAGTTTAGGGAGGATGTAGCATCAGAAGCACAAGCTACTTGTATAACCCAGCCTCTGATCTCCTCTATTAGTTTGTGAGACCTGCTATAACAAAGTACCACAAGCTGGGTGGCTTAAATTGTCTCACAGTTTTGGAAGCAAGAAGTGCTGGCAGGGTTGATTCCTTCTTAGGGCTGTGAGAAAAATCTGTTCTGTGCCTCTCCTATAGCTTCGGTTGGTTTGTTAGCAATCTTTGATGTTTCTTGGCTTATAGAAGTGTTGCCCTGATCTCTGCCTTTTCCTTCACTTGACCTTCTCCTTGTGACCTCTTCTAGATCTGTGCCCAAATTTTCCTTTTTGGGGTGGGGGCAGAATTTCACTGTAGTTGGCCTTGAGCTTGTGGTGACCCTTGTGCCTCAGGGTCTTGAGTGTTGGGATTATAGGTGTGTGCCACCATGCCCGGCTTACAAATTTTCTTTTTTGTAAGAATATCAGTCACATTGGATTAGGACCCATGACCTTATTTTAACTAGTTATATATGCTGTGGCCCTGTTTCCAAATAAAGTCACATTTGAGTTAATGGGGGTTAAGACTTCAACATCTGAATTTTTAGAGTCACAATTTAACCCATAATATCCTACCATTTGATGGAAACTAAAAAGAAACCAGAGCCCAGGGAAATCCACTGATACAGGACATATGAAGCAGCCTTGCAGAGCTCAGAGTGAGGCAGAAGATGGATGACATACAGAATCCATACTCCCCATCCACCCATCATGTTAAAAGCTCTGACTTTTCTTAGGGACCACAGGCTAGGGTGGGAGAATGAGCTTGAGCTGTTTACTGCCCTGCTTTCCCTGCCACTACCCAAGATTGACTGCATCCCCCTACCAAGGGCCACATTTCCTTGGAGGCAGTCCAGTTTTGTTTTGAGACAGGGTCTTGCTATGTAGTTCAGCCTGGCCTTGAACTCACTATGTAGCCCAGGCTGGCCTTGAACTCAGAGCAATCCTCCTGCTTTATCCTCCCGAGTGCTGAGATTACAGGTGTTGTGCCGCCATGCCAGCTGGCAGCTTTCTTTTATAGGACTCTCCAGCTCTGGTAACCACTCCCTCTTTTTACTCCCTTGACTGATGCCAACTCCTTGGTGGTGTTAGTGCTGGGGTACTGCACTGTTCCTTGATGGTTTTCCCAAATCTTGCCCTCACTTTTGTTAACATGCTCTTCCCTGAACTCTCACCAAATTATCCAGTTTGAGTGCCATGTATCTCTGCTAAAACCTTACTTAATACAGTAGGTATGTTTGGAACAAGCAAAAAACAAACAAAAATATTTGTTTGAAAATTTGAATAAGTGAGGGGAATCCATAACTAGAGTGATTTAAGCACATTTACTGCTGCATCTGAATGGCTTAGAGCATGAGGGAAGTTGGCATGGGGTTAAGGTAGTATTTTTCCAGGAAGATTTTATGCATTTAGAAAATTTTTATTGAAGGCCTACTATCATACACCAAGCAATACACTATGTCAGTGGTGGTGAACCTATAGCATGTGTGCCGCAAGTTGTTCGTATCATTGAAAGCTCTAAGAGGTTCACCACCACTGTTCTATGTGCTAGAGAAAAAAGGACAAATAAGTAATGGCCCTTGCCTTCAAGGAGCTCACAATCTAGTAGCAGGAGACAGACATGTAAACAGTTACTTTCATAAAACATCACAGATGCTGTAGTCAAGTCTGAGCTGGAGTTTTAAGAACTTTGGAATGGCCAACATATAGTAGAGACGATGAAAATGATGGGATTGGAGATTGTATTAAGAATGGAGTCTTAGAGGGCCGGGGATTTAGCTCAGTGGTTCTGCCGCCTGCCTCACAAGCCCAAGGACCTAAATTTGATCCCCGGTACCGGAAAAAACAAAACAAAACAAAAAAGAATGGAGTCTTAGAACTGGGGATTTAGTCAGTGGCACCGTGCCTGCCTAACAAGTGTGCAAGAAGGTCCTGAGTTCAATCCCAGCTACGAAAAAAAAAAAAATGGAGTCTTAGACTTAAGGACGTAGCTAAGTGGTCAAGCATGTGCCTAATGTGCAAAGTCCTGAGTTGGAACCCCAGTATTGTCAAAAAAAAAAAAAAAAAAAAAAAAAAAAAAAAAAAAAAAAGGGGGTTAGAAATATTTCGAGATATTGAGACTGTTCTAAGGTTCTTGAAATGTAAAAAAAAAAAAAAAAAAAAAAAAAAAAAAAAAAAAAAAGGAAGAGCAAGGGATTGCAATAATCAAGGATAGGAAAAAATCCTAGAATATGAGATTAAGAAGAAGTAATTACAATAGTAATTCAGATATATTAAGCATTTAGATTATCGCAATATTTTTCACAACTCTCTGAGGGACTGTTATTGTCTGTTTTACACATGAGAAACTAAGGCTCAAAGGCATTCAGTTATTTGCCTGAGGTTGCACAGCTAGCAAGTATGAAAGACAGGAATTGAACACAGCACTGACTCCAGATTTATTCTCTTAACTTCCAGTATACTCAGAAAGACAGGTGTAAAACTAGGAGAGAAGGTGATACTGAGGAAACCAAAATAGCAGAGAATTTAAAGGAGAAACGAATCAACCACAAATGCCACAGAGAGATCAAATGATTTGATGATTAACAAGATCCTATTAAAACTTGCAATTAGAGGATTTGAAAGGAACTTTGGCTGGGCAGTTTCGTTAGCAAAGTTGCAGGAGTAGTACTAACTGAAGTCTCTGAAGAAATCAATAGTAAAGTGTGGACTTCTTTGCAAGGAGTTTGGCATCCAAGAGGAGAGAGAGAGAGTGAAAGTCAGAAGACCTTAGTCAAAGGAGCCTGCCTCTGCTGAAAGGGCCCTGGGTGTGTCAACAGCACTATGGAAATGATCAGTGCTAAGAAGCCCAAGCAGGCTGGTAGACAGAGGGGATGGAGGTGAAGTCTGAGGTGTGGTGTTGGGGTATAGGTTAAGGGCATTTTGCAGAAAAGTCTATATCTGTCCAGGTTCCTGGGAGGAGAGGCTCGTCTTCAGGGCTGCTGCCAACAACTTAATGGTAGATAGGAATGGTTGGCAATATGTGTAGTACAACAGGACCCTGACTCAGCCATGGGTGGGCACACAGACAGGGGCATGGCCCCTAGGCAGGAAGGCTGCAATCCTCTGTAGTCCATCTGAGCCTGGGAGGAACATAGGGGCAAGGGAGTCCTCTCTGAGGATTTAGGTAGGATCTCAAGGAGGCTGGGTTCCACTTCTTCATAGGTATCTGTGATTGTGGCCTTGGGCTGGGAGAGATGGGTGAAAGGAGCTGGATTAGAGTAGATCCCGGGGTAGAGGCTTGATTGTGGAGAAAAGCAAGTTGGGTTGGGGGCAGCGCTTGGGGATGGTACACTGCTAGGCCATGACCTTGAACAAGTTGCACTGAGGGGAAAGGAAGGGGAGGAGAGTGCACTCACCATACTCAGGGCTGCAGTATCTCTAAGGTACTGGCCTAGGACCCGGTGTAGGTCTGGAAGTGAGGGCCACAGGGCATGCCTCAGTCTCCTAAGGGAGAAGCAGGAGAAGACTGTCATGGAGTGAGCTGGGAGGGCTGAAGAGAGGTCTGGAGTCGGGAGGTGGTGGAGGCAATGAGGCTGAGGAGTAAGTCTTGAGGGATGGAGCACAGTTAAGGCTATAAAGTAAGGTAAAGGAGCAGAGGTGAGAAAAAAATCCTGTGGGAGAGGGAAGTCTGGTGGGGAGCATCACAAAGGGTAATTCAGAACTTCCTCAAACATTCCTGTTTCAGGGCCCTTCCACTTGCAGTTCTGCCTGGAAACTCAGTTCATTCCCTTACTTCAGTTAGGTCTCTGCTCAAATGTCACTCTGCCAGAGACACCTTCCCTGATTACGATGCCTAAAATTATAACATCGCGCTTGCCCATCATTGCATTTCTTGCTGTACTTTTCTGTGTAGCACTTGACTTATTGTATATTTCTTCTATTGTTACCTATATTTGTTTTTGTGTTCCTGTCCCCACTAGAGTATAAGCTCCCTGAGAGCAGTTTGTATATATTTTTTTCACTCCTGTATCTCTAGTGTCAGTCCCATCTTAGGTGTTCAAAAGAGAACCAGAGAAGCTTATTACTGAGTTATGGGGAGTAACTTTACTTCTCTTCCACAGCCTTACTCCAGTCTCCCTAAGGTCAGAAGAGGGACTTACCTGGTTGGGGAAAAGGAATGAGTATAAGCTCCCTGAGAGCAGTTTGTATATATTTTTTTCACTCCTGTATCTCTAGTGTCAGTCCCATCTTAGGTGTTCAAAAGAGAACCAGAGAAGCTTATTACTGAGTTGTGGGGAGTAACTTTACTTCTCTTCCACAGCCTTACTCCAGTCTCCCTAAGGTCAGAAGAGGGACTTACCTGGTTGGGGAAAAGGAATAGAGTATGCCTGGTTCAGCAGCCCCTCCTCCCTCTTCTTCTTCTTTTTTTTTTTTTTAGATCTGGCTATCTTCATAGAAGCTATATTCCACATGCTCTTACCCATAGGCAGATTAAAAGTTAAGAGAGTGGCATGTTCAAAGAGATATAAGAGCCCACAAGAGGGGCACCTGACCCAGCCTAGGACCATCAAAACACAGTGCCCCGAGGAATTGACTTCTAAGCTAAGTCTTCAAGAGTCAAGCAGGTATTACCAATTGAATAACTGAGGCGGTATGGATTCTATCTTGAATGTTTATAACTCCCAGTGACATTTCTCCTCAGCCTCCACATACATGAGTCATTCATTACTAACGTTTATTTAAGGCCCTTCTACTTGGCAGGCACTGTGCAAAGAACTTAAAAATGACCAAGTAAGGTACAATGAGAAAGACATGTTAAGAACTAAATGCAGGCTTGGGGGTGTAGCTCGGTGGTAGAGGGGGTGCTTACTATGCACAAGGTCTGGGTTCAGTCCATAGCACCAAAAACAAAAACAAAAAAGAAATGAAAAAGAAATGCAGTAAAACACTATGGTACTGTATTGGGACACAGAAAAGCAGCCAGTAAGGGAGGGTCAGGAAAGGTTTCCTAAGAGTTGGTGAAGAAAGTTATTTAAAGATGAATGCGTATTAGTCAGCCAGGGAGGATATTCCAGGCAGAGGGGACATGATGTGCAAAGGCACTAAGAAGCCAGACAGCCTGTCTCGTGGGGGAAGTCAAGTTTGGCAAGGTTAATGCACAGGGTGGCAGCAAATTTGCATAGTGTCACTTGTCCTTCCCCAGAGCCTGGACGCTATCCTGGGAATTGCTGAAGGGATTTAAGGGGGAGGAAGATGTGCTCCTGCATACATTTTAGGAAGATTATTCTGGTAGCGTATGAGGTTAGGTTGGAAGGAGAAGAGCCTCTGTTCCAGGGACGCGGGTAGTGTCTGTAGGACTAGAGAAGGGGCCGTTGTCTGCACTAGGTTGAGGAGGTGGAATGACCAGACCTGAGGGCCAACGGGATGGGGTGGGGAGGGGAGGGAGGGTTTTCAGGGTCCTGGTGAGGGCCAAGCACTACAGTTGCCTTGTTACTGGAATGAATACCCAGGAGGTGGGGCTGTTTGATGAGACCATTACAGTGGGCATGTTAGAGTGTAAGGTGACAATACCACTCTGAGAGACATGCAGGAAGGGGTTCAGGCCATAGCTGTAGACGTGTGGTGGTCCAGAGAGCAAATGTCACCAAGTGCCCCTAGGATGTCTGTTTAGGGATCTCCAGTCCCACCGGGTCCGCGCCCTGTCTCCCTCCTGGCTAGGGCGGTACCTGTATTGCTCAGGAAACTGCCACCTCAGCAGCAGCAGGCCAAGAAGGGCGCTGAGGCCCAGCACCAGGAGCAGAACGGTCACCAAGGAGATCCAGGCTAGGGGACAAAAACCTTCAGATTTCGGCCGACCCTCGGCCCCACCCGCAGACCTACTACTGGACCTTGCCCTGGCCCCGCCCCTACTACCCGGCCACGCCTCTCGCCCCCTCGGCCACGCCCCCGGGCACCCAAGGTACCGAAAGCACATCTGCGCGTTCAGGGACCCGCCCCTCGTGCCGCTGTGGACCAGGTTAGTCCCAGCCAGGCCTCTCCTCACCCCCTCACCCGGCTCCGAGGCTGTCTCCACCCACTCCGTCTCAGACCAGGCGCTCCAGGGGCCTTGATAGGTGGGGCCGTTAAGCCTGGCGCGCAGCTGTAAGCGGTAGCGAGATCGCGGGCGCAGCTCCAGGCTCCCTCCCTGGACTCCGAGCAGCGGTTCCAGCACCTGCGCAGAGGAGAGGCGTGGGGGGAGGGACGTGGGCTCAGGAGCTCCTCCAAAGCCCTACCGTTTGGAGTTCCCGGACGCTGGACTGGCAGAAACATGCGGGATCGAGCACCCTCCTTGAAAGCCCCTCCCTGACGAGGTCCAGCCCTGCCTGTGAGATGCGCCGGGGGAAAGACTCTGGCACTCAGATCCCACCTTCACAGAGGTCCTGACGCAAGCACCTGTGGGACACCCTTGACAGAGACCCCGGTACTCGGACACACTGACCACGACATGCTGGATGCTCTCACCACCATTTCTGAGTCACTCAGATGCTCAGGAGACACACACATCTCAGAGCCACACAGACTGTGCCACTAGCACTACTTCTTACTAGTGCTAGGCGCTTGGGGGTACGAGAATCGAGTGCAAGAGCAGGGAGACAGTTAATTACGTAGCAAACATTTAGGATTGCTGGAGATACGCCAAACATTAGGCTAGGCACTGGAGAAAGAGATAAATAAAACAGGTGAGGGAGACATGCAAACCAGTCAAGAATTATAATTAGGGTACCACAGATGCACAAAGAAATATTTAAGGCTGCCTGAGCTAGTTGATGGGGATTGCAGCATACTTTAGCGTGCTAAAATCACGTATGGGAAGGCTGGATGGTCAAAGGGAAGGCTATGGCAGTCCTAGTTGGGATTTGAAGAATGTTAGTACGTTCTTCAACTTGATAAATAGGGGGAAGGGACAAAGAAAAGATGTAGGTACTGGGTAAGTGGTATCATTATCAGAGACAGCAGAGAAAGTAAGCTTGAAGAAGAAATGCTGTATGGTTCTACTTTATTAGGTTTAACCACAGTCAAATGAACCAAAGGTAATGTCAGGACAATGATTAGCTTTGATGGGTCGGTAACTGTAGGGGCACAAGGAACTTCTAGGATGCTGGAAATTATTTGTATCTTGATCTTGGTGATGATCCCATGGGTGTTTCCACATATACAATTAGTTGTATATTGAAGGGTTGTATACTTTATTGTATGCAAGCTTTACCTCAGTAAAAACAAAGTACATTCGGTGAGAAAGATGAGTTTAGTTTTGGATACACTGAGTTTGAACTGTCTGGGAATGAGGAGGTGCAGGCAGAGCTGCTTGGTAAAAAGTTATATATAAATGTAAGTGAGAATAAAAGTAGACAAAGAAGGTAATATTTAACTGATGTATATATATTCTGTAGGTAAGGAAAGGGGGGTGAGCTAGTCTAGGCAGAGTGGTAGAACAAATATCAGGAAAGACTAATAAGGCAAAGGGAAGAAAACAGATTTATGTAGGAGTAGCTAGTCATGTCAGTCTTAAGAGAGTAAGATAGCACTGAATCAGATAAACATAGATAGGGGTCAGGATATAGCTCAGTGATGCAGTGAGAGGCCCTGAGTTGGATTTCTGGAACCAAGAAAGGGAGGGGAGGGAGGGGGAGGGAGGGAAGGAGGGAGGGGGAGAGAGAAATGGAGGGAGGGAAGGAGGGAGGGGGAGAGAGAAAGAGAGAAGAGAGAGAGAGAGAGGGAGAGAGATAAAAAAGATAAAATAGATATACGAGCCAAGCGTTGGTGCACACCTGTAATCCTGGTACTCTAGGAGGCTGAGGCAGGAAGATCACAAGTTAAAACCCAGCTTCAACAGCTTAGCAACTTAGCAAGATCCTGTCTAAAAATTTAAAAGAATAAAAAACAGGCTGGGGATATAGCTCAGGGCAAAGACTATGGGTTGGACCCCCTGTACTGTAAAAACAAAACCAGATAAACAGATATACACACAGTTCCTCTGGTAAAAACAGGACTATCCTGTGAGGGTGTTTGTCGTTTGACCATACCTTCCAGTCCTGATGGCCTTCTCCTATGTACCGGAGCTGATAGCAGGTCTCTTGAGCTGCCCAAGGTGATGGGTGCTGCCACTCCAATGCCAGCTGCCCACTGGAGACCTCCCTCCAGTGCAGGTTTGGGGTGGGGATGAGCACTGTGGGGATTGCAGCAGGGACTGGTTTCAGCCCTTGTGTGCAAGAGGCATCATGCCACCAAGGCCACCAGTTAGAAGTCTCAGAGTTGGGAATCATGGGCATAGATGGGTTGGAAGATTCACTGGAGGTGGGCACTGTATGGAAAGAATGGGGAACGAAATTCTTACCAGCCTGGCGCATCCAGAAAGGGGAGCCCAGGTAGCTGTGAACAACACCCTGGGCTGTAGTCACTTCTACAAGGGTGTGAATAACACTGTCATTCCGTGACTTGAAGTGGCAGCGGGAGAGCTGAGGGAGCTGTAATCCTGGGTTTGTTTCCTTTTCCTCTTCACACTTCTCCCAGATGGGGTCCCTAAGAACCAGTCCCATAAAGTCATGAATCAGGCCTGCCCCATAGACTAATTCCTGTCCTCCCCATGGCACAAAGACTATGGCCTGCAGGTTGTAGCCTTACTCCCCCTTTGGATGGAACTCCAAGGTTCTCCCTCTGTCTGTATGCCATAGGCCCAGTCTCTAGGCCCAGTCTCTCCTCGAGAAAAGAGCTAGGATGATCTGTGAAAATAGCATGACCTATAGGGTTTGGATACTGGCCTATGAATGTATCACTTTCGGCAATTTTTTAAAAATCTCTGCTCTGGTTTCCTTCTATGTGTGACATGGATTGATAGCTACCTCACAGGATTATTTCAAAGATTAAAGAGACTTCATCTTTCCGGAGGGAAATGTCTTTATGTGTTTTTATCTGCTCTCATACAGCACCACTCCTTTACCCCTAAAGGTTATATCACTATCATCTGGCTTTTCTGCCTCCATTTTCACCAGTCCCACAGCTATGGAATTTGCTTCTAAAAATATTGATCTGATAATATCCAGAGTACCTCGTAAGTTGATTTATTTTGATCTTTAATTTCTGCCCTGTCAGGTGAAACCACCCTTATCTCTTGCCTGGATTAAGGTAAATTTCTAGCTGATGACCTTGCTTCTGTTCTTGTTTATGATATCACAGAGAAACGTAGCTTTTCAAATGCAAGTCATGCCGCTCTTCTCCTTAAAATCCTTCAATTGCTGCAAGCTCCATACCAGGCCTACAGGAATCCATATGATCTGGCTCCTCCTTACCTTGCCATTCTCGTGTCCTATCACCCTCCATCCACATGGGCCTTCTTTCTGTGTCACAAATATGCTAGCTGTGTGGTCTTTGTATTTTGCCTTTGCCCTGAGTAGCTCCAATCCTAGGTCTTAACATGACTCATTCCTTCTTATTTGCACTTTTTACCTGTTACTCCTCTGGTAAGAGTTTTCCTGGGTACTCACTCCAAGTCAGCAGTCTCCTCTCCCAGTCTTCATTATTTAATCTTGTTCTTTTATTTCTTTGCTGTTTCTCCTCTTACCCTCATTAAAATGTGAGCCTCAACAATGAGGACCCTCCCTTCTTTTTCTTGCAGTACTGGGGATTGAACCCAGAGCCTTTTACATGCTGGGTGAGCACTCTACCATTGAGTTACACCATAGAACCTTTTCTGTTTTTTCACTCTATCCCCAGGGCACCAGTTACCTTAATACTATTTCTTCATTGAACAAATCATATCTCCTTCCTGATTATAATTCCTAAGTGACTTGCCATTACTAAAATCATTTATCACTTTAGGTACTTATATGTTTACTCGTTTATTTCACAGCTGATACTCATGTGCCAGGAATTGCACTAGGCCTGTTGAGAATATAGACGAATAATCTTCAAGGAGTTTTCAATTAAGAAAAAAAGAGACAGAGTAAAACAGATGATTTCTCTTTCTGCAACGTGCGCAGGCTGGCTCAGGAGGACCATGCAGGAGCATCTAACCCAGACTGGGAAGGTCAGGGAGTGCTTCGTGGCTGAGGCAGTGTTTAGACTGAGACTTTACTATAAATAGCCTAGGCCAAGAGAACAATTGGGCATCACAGGCACATGTTTGTGCACAGATAAGAGAGTGTGGTGCTTTGGGGGAAATTTTAAGTCGTGCAGAATGGCTTCGGAATAGAAAGCCTGGTGGTAAATGGTGAATATGAGATGGCAGACCATGTCATGGATGGCTTCATGGCCTTTTTAAGGAGCTCCAACTCCATTTTGTGGCAGTGGAGACTATATGGATTGGTAAGTGTCATATTACCTCTGTACTTTTGGCAGATCATTCTAACTGCAGTTTATAGAGAGAAGCTGTGAGGGGAGAGTAGAGGCAGAGACATCCATTAGGATACTGTTGTAATTCCCCATGTGCAAGGTGATGAGGGTCTGCAGATAGGGTGGTGGTATGGAGATAGAGGGAAGAGATGATTCAAGAGCTATTGGAGAGTGCTCCCTTCGGCAGCACATACACTAAAAGAGCTATTGAAAAGATAGACAAGACTATTTTTGATCAGAATGGGAGAACTCTAGAGCAATTTGTTTCAGGTGTGGGAAACAGTTCTTGGTAAAGATGGAGAGCAATCAAGAGAAAGAGCAAATTTTGGTAGAGGAAATGATTTTAGTTTTTTACCCTTTATCCCATGCATGGCACCTCTATACTATGAAAATCTGTGCAGTAATTAAAAGGAAACAAGTTACTTCTTTTTGTTATGAGCTCCAAGATATTCATATAAAAAGGTGAGTTAAATCATATAGGGCTGGAGAGTTTAGTAGATGCTTACCTTACGTGTGTGAGGGTTTGATCCCTAGCACTGTGAAAACAAATACAAAACCCCCTAACACCCATACGTATGTAATATCAATTCATATTTTAAAATTAAAAATTGTATATAGACATATGCAAATACATAGGAAAAAATTTTAAAATATATTAAAACTGTTAAAAGTAGCTTTCTCATTATCATTCATTAAATTTTTTCAATACTGAGGACAGAGCACAGGGGCATTCTACTACTGACCTACAAGCTGTATCTTCATCCCTTTTTATTTTTCTCTTTTGAGATGGGGTCTCACAGAGTTGCGCAGGCTGGCCTCACACTGGCAATCCTCCTGCTTCAGCCACCTAAGTATGTGGGGCCATAGGCATGAACCGCCACTTCTGGTTCACTAAGTGTTTTGTTGTTGTTGTTTGTTTGTCTGTTTGTTTTTACTGAGTACCTATTGTGTTCTAGGCACTATCAGAGTGAGAATATATTGGTGAGTAAAAAACAGGGTAACCCATTTGGGACCTCTCTTATCTCTCAGCAGCTATTCTTAATCCCCATTCCTATTCACCAATAAATTTTCCTACTCTTAACAACAACACCAAAAACCAAAAAAAAAAGACAATATTGATTTTGCCTTCATGGGTTATATGTAATTATGATTAGCATTTCTCAACTGGAGTTCTGAGAGTTTTGTTTTTCTTTTTTGTATATAAAGGATTACCAAATTCCAATTTAATACATTTTGGAAAAGTAAATGTAAAATAACTTGGGCTTATAAAACCAGAATTTACAGTTATCTGTGAATAGTTATAGACAGACCATAGAACCATTTGAATTATAATACAAAGTAATTCTAATGTTGGTTACAGAATCATCACTCTGCCCCCATCCCCTGTAAGTCCAGGTGTTGAACTGTACACTTCCCACTCTACTCACACTCTTTCATGCCTTCTAAAACAGTGCTCTTGCACCCGGCCCTGTCACACATATACTAGGCACATCCTCCTTTCCACAAAGCTTAGCAAGATGGCAGCTCCTCTTGGCTTATACCAACTTCTGTCCTTTTATAAAGCTCCTAGTTGCCTGGTACCTTTGCACTCAAGAAAGTATATTCTCTCTCTTCCTTGCCAATATTCTGTCTTTCCTGATGTCTGTGCCAATAAGACATCTGACCATTCCTATTAGGTCTTCCTGTCTTACCCAACCCTTCACTGATAACTGAGTGAGTGCAACCACCACCATTACAGTGCTGAAAATCTTTTTTGGCCTTTTCCTCCACAAACATTACCTACCTCAACAGAACTGAACTTCTTTTGGGAGCCAAGAGTTAAACCAAAGTCCTCTTCCCAACACTCTGCCTCTTACTCAATAGGAATCCGTCACTTTAAGAGATGCCTACTGCTCTGCAGAGTTCAGTTAGAACAATTAGTTCAATTAGACACAGCCTGTGTCATCTGCAAGCCTGAGGGAAGAAACTAGTCCCACCAATTCTGACCAATGGTTTTGAGTTGAATTAAAAGGATATAGTACCACATTCTGGTCTTCATTACACTTCTTCATTAACATACCTCTAATAATTTAGTAGTCTGGACACAAAGCTTTGCAGAGCTGTCTTTCCCCCTTCTTTAGTAGGCCTAGTCACCATCAGTCAGAGCCAAGGAGGCACCTGTCCTTTTGAGTGTCTCTTTGGAACTAATTTATTACATTACAACACTGCTCAACTTGCAAACAATGACATTCATCAGCGATCTATATGCTCTTGAATCTGAAGTGCTAACCTTGTCAGCACTGAAAATGCTTCACTTTTAGTATCTCCATATTATATGCTCAATGAAGTGTTAGAGAAAACATGGAAGGTTTAAAAAAGGAACCATGATTTCCTCTCCAGCAGAGCCAAAGGCTGAAGGCTTGTTTATATTCTCCAGGTATAAACCTACAACTTAATGGCTGTACAATCTGATCTATCACACACTCCTACTTAAGACCGGAACACCTACAACATGTGAACAGGGTGAGATGGTAAAATCTACAGACCCACAGGTCCTTGCTGATGGACAACTAAAAGAAAAGTCTCATGAGATAGTGAGCTCACAGCACTAGTGCATGTTCACGCACGCGCGCGTGTGCTCACGCACACACACACACACACAGGACAACAAGTCTAATGTCTCAACAATGACATTCAGAGACCCTTGCACAGGGGAACTATGCTCTTGTCTCACTAGAAAGGAGTCTCTTGGACCTTTCCTCATTCCTAACATAGCACAGGCCAATGGCCAGCTGGACATTCAGACCCACAGTTGAATATTGAATAGAAGGGAGCAGCAGCAGACACAAAATTTCAGGCCCTGGTTTTATGTGCCCTTAATACTTTTTTCCTTTCTGCTGGGTTCACTAAACAAGAATATTTTTTGAAGGCTCCTTTTTTTTTCCCCTTTATATTTAGCAAGTTTTTAGTTTCTTTTCTGAGGAGCAATTCTCTGAATCTGTGTCTTCCAACTCAACTCAGTGCCTTTTGAGGCCACTGTGGCCATGAACAGCCCTGCTGCTGTTTGTGACTGAGGTGTCAGTGGAGTCCTCTCTTATTCCAGCATTGGGGGTTTCACAGGTCAGTTCAGACCCACAATGATCTTTGTGTAAGACAGTTGCTCTCAGGGGCAAGTTATCATGTTTAGTGTCTGAGTGTCCTGGGGAAGAGCAGGCTATTGTTTCCAGTTCCCTGAAGTTCTGCCCATTGTTGTGGGGTCAGGGGGCTGAGGGTGTAAGCATCCATTGTTGTGGTTGGCACAGATGGTTTTTAGACTCCTCTCCTCACTGTCATCAGATTGGGTCCTAGAACAGTTGCCAGATCCACTGCTGAGAGTGGAGCCAGATGCCTTGGGGACGGGGGCAGAGGGTGGCTCTTCAGCTCGACTGCTCAGGATCTTGTTCAGGGCCTTTCCATTGAGCTTCTTTTTTTCCAAAGAGTGTTCTACAGAGCCACCATTGTTAGTGTCCTGAGAGGTGCCCTCTGGTGCCTCTGCTGGAGGGTGGCTGCTATGCTTGTGGCCTGGGCCACTGCTGGGATTTCTAGTGGATGTCCCTTCTTTACACACATCTTTGCTGCAGTCAGGTCCTGATTCCTCTGGGCCAAGGCTGTGTTCAGAGAGTCTTCCTTACTAGAAGAAGGGGCAGGATTGTTTTTCTTGTGGCTAGTTCCTGCTCTCCCTTCATCCGCCTCCCCTGCCACTAGGGAGGCCCCTCCATCTTTGTTATTTGAGTAGGAAATGTAGGAGTAACAGAGCCATTTACAAGCTTTATAAATCTTTCACTCAAGTGATTCTTTGACCTAGGTTGTTGATGCCTGGCTTGGCTGAATCTCCAGGGTAGAAGTGCTCTGCTCGTAGGAGGAGGCAGGGGCAGAGGAGAGGTCGTCCACTTTGATCTGCAGGTAGTCGCAGTTGTCCTCGCCAGTGTAGGTGCTGGTGGGATTGGTGGGTGCACCAGGCCTCTCCTCCTTCCCTGCAGAGTTCCACAGCCTGGTGGAGGTGCGGCACTCATTTAGCTTCTCCTCATCTTCAGAGCTGCTGGAGCTGCTGGACTCATTCTCAGGGTTGGGTGAGCGAGGCTGGGGGAAGAGGTCTGTATCCAGCTCGACCTCACAGGCGTTCTCTTCTGAATCCAACTCATTGGACAGGGCTGGGCAGCGTTTGTCCTGGTAACGCGGCAGAGCCCAGAGGCACTTTTGGGAAGAGGCCATGTGCTCACAGGTGGGCCCTGGTGGGGTGGACACCACTGCAGGTGCGGCACTGACATGCAGGGTCCCCAGGTGGAAGACACTGTGGGCCTATCCACAGTGGGGGTAGGGAGCCAGGGAGCCAGGGAGCGAGGCCGAGGACTCCAGTCAGTGCGGCCAGAGCTCTTGCTGATCCCCGCATGCAGCTGGAGGGTGGTGCTCTCGCTGAGGTCACTGTCCGAGTCCAAGTCTCGATCTCTGGGCAGACCAGGAAGTCAAAGAATGCCATCATCTGGGGGTCCTCCTGGACAGACCGACTGGCGTAGTCATGGGACAGGCCACTGCTGCTGTTCAGCACCAGGCTGATGTACTCTTCCTGGGTGTAGAGGCAGCGGGAACCATCCTCAATGCAGCCAGCCTCCGGAACATCCTGGCTGCTTGTGGGGTCTCCAGATCTTGATAATCTTTTCTATACCAGAAGAGCAGATCATATAGGTGTGGGGATTAAGTCAGACCTGGTTAACAATAGATTGATGCCCTTTTAGCATCATGAAGGCTGCATTGACCACCCTGCCAATGCCACCTGCCTCTGGGTCTGCAGAGATTCTCCACATATACAGGTTGAAGTCATCAGAGCCTGAAAGGATGTTCTGGTTACGATCTCCTGCAAAGCAGCAGCTTTTCATAATTCATGAGTTGAAATAAATCTGATTGTCAAACCAGAACACAGGAGGGTGAGAGTGGATATCATACAGCACAGGAGACAGATAAGGCCTCAGGGCCAGGAGTTGGGTCCCGTTGCTGTTGAATTGCATACATGTGGCACTTTGGAGGGATAGATGGCCACCATAGCACAGGAGCGAACTCTGAGGTTTCGAATATCCCAAAGTCCTACTCCTTCCTTCAAATTGGCTGTGACCAATAACCTGGGCTCCATAGGGTTAAACATGACACTGTGAAAGGCTGAAGGATAGTTTGCCAGGCAGAAAGTCTCTCTATGAGGAGACTCCCTGATGTCCCAAATGAGAGCTCGGCCATCACCTGAAGAGCTGTCAAAAGTGTTGTCCTTTACTGGGCTCATGGACAAGCCATGAACTGCATCTTTCAACATCGTGGAGAATAACTTGTTCATCATTTCCTCCAGAAAATAAACACTTTGGTGTTCCCATTGTTTTTGTACCAGGGATCAAATTTGGAACCTTGCGCTTGCAAAGCAGGGAGCAGAACCCACTGAGCTAAATCCCTGGCCTGTAGGTGTTCCCATTGTTGAAAGTCAAGCAAACGATGTTGGAATGGTGTTCTCCTTTCAGCTGTATGGCCTTGACCCTGGAGTGGATGGCTTGTTCCATGTGCTACAGCAAAACCTGGTGGTCGTCTCTTCCTGAGACCAGCCACTGGCCGCCGTTGTTGGAGAATTCAATGGCATTGACACAGCCGAAGTGGCCCAGGAGGTCCTTCTTGTAGAGGTTTCTGCAGACTCGCAGGCATCTCCTCTGAAAGTCCCGAGTGAGCAGGGGTCCCCATGCAAGCCCCGTTGGGACAAGAAGCCCACCACTGACCTCATGCTGCCCCCCAGGCCAGCTCTCCTCTTTATGGGCCTCTTCTTCTGCCTTGTGTGGCCGCTGTTCCTACCCCCTCCCCTTTAAACTGAGGATTATACTTAGGGCCTTTGCACTGAACTACATCCTCAGTGCTTAAATTTAGTTTAATTTTGAGTCAGGGTCTTGCTAACTTACTAAGTGGTCCAGGCTGGGCTTGAAGAATTCCTGCTTCAGCCTTCCAGAGTACTATGAAGTATAAATTTTGTTTTGTTTTGTTTTTTTATGGAGACAGAGTCTTGCTATGTAGTTCAGGGTGGCCTCAAACTCACTATGTAGTCCAGGCTGGCCTCGAACTTGCAGCAATCCTCCTACCTCAGCCTCCTGAGTGCTGGAATTACAGGCATGTCAACTACTCCTTGCCTTAAAAGGTAAATGTTAAATTGTAATTATGATGAATACTTTCAAAGGAGAAGTATATGATACGACTATTATAGATAGCTAAGTTAGATAGAAATTCATATACAGTCAGAGAGGGATTGGGTCCTCAAGGAAATCAGCACAAAAGAAATCAGAATTGTGACCATGACATCAGAATTATGGCTAGAGGCACATCTGAAGAAGGCCAGGCCTCACAATGCAGTAGCCAGGCTTGTATGCCTTCCTATTACATGCCAGGCATACAGCAATTTGAGATTATATTGTAATTAGCACCACTGAGTCAATAAGTCCAGGTAGTCATCAGACATCTAGGTGGGAGAGCAGATTATTTAGACCAAGCCCTTCCCCAAAAGGCTCTTGTTCTTTCTGTGTTACAAGTTATAGATATGCTAAAGTTAATGATGCTAGCCATATACCCTTGCTACATGCTGTGGTTTCTTATTGCATCAATATTAGCTAAGTGACTATACTTGTTATCTTATTGGTTGATTGTAGTTTGTCCCACATTGTACCCCCACTGTGCTTTAGCTGTGTAAATTCCTCCTGACAGAGGTCCTGGGTAGGGTACCTTTCTGCAAATCCAGGAGCTATTCTTCCCCTTATTTCCAATAAAATATCTCCTAACTTTCTCCTTTGGTTTCAACTTTTTCCTCAATGTTGTGACTACGAAGTTGGCACATCTGACATCTAGCAGGTTGGAAGTTATATTTTTCCTATATCATGACAAAGAGGTATAATTGTGCTATTGGATATATTGAGGAAGGCTTCCTCAAGCTCTGATAAGTAGATGTTAAGTAAGATGGGATAAATAGTAAGCTGGATAAATAGCTCATACAAAGACCCAGAGCCAGGAGGGAATATGGAAGGTGCCACAAAAGGCCAGTGCTGAAACAAAAAGAGCAAAGGGCAGCATAGTAGAAGTTGAAGCTGAAAGCGTAGGTAAGAGCTGGGAACTTTATAAGGTTGTGGTAGACTTCTTTTCTTATTCTAACTCACTGGAAAACCATAAAGGATTTTTTTCCCTTTTTTTTTTTTTTTTTTGGTACCTGGGATTGAACTCCGGTCCTTGCGCTTGCAAGGCAGGCCACCGAACTGCTGAGCTAAATCCCCGGCCCTCATAAAGGATTTTAAAACAGGGAGTTTTGTGTTTATGTACACATTTTTAAAAGATCTTACCCATTCTTATTCAGGAGAATATTTTGGAGCTGATCAGTTAACAGGTCTTTTCAGTGGCCTAAGTGAAAGATGTCAGTGGGTTGTACCAGTGACAGACAGGGATAGACAAAAGTGGACAGATTCTGGAGATATTTAACAACTAGAATAGCTCAGATTAGTTTTGAAGAGGATGAGGCATCAGTGAAGTGTTTGGTGGAAGTCCTGGAAAGCCAGGCTGAATTTGTATGAATGTAAGATAGATCACAAGGAAGGGAAGGCCATCCAATGTGTTTCATAAAGATCATGTGATGTTTGAGTCTAACAAAGGTCACTTGGGGTCCTCAGCATAGGAAATAAATTGGGGGTGAATGAGACTGTAGTCTGTCACAGTGATGCAGGAGACATGATTAAGGCTAAACTAAATCAAGGCATTTTCAGTAGGAATGGAGAGAGCTTGAGAAGATAAAACACTTGGAGGATGGGAGAATAGGTAATAGAACCCAGAGGCTCTATTTGGTTGGGACAAGGTAGGAAGAGGACTAAGAGCAATCTTTTCCTTCTTTTTACTGGTTCATGTCTCTCTCCAATAACATCAAACCCCATTACGACTTAAATGCTTACCTTTCTCTGGGGCAGCACTGGGCCTTGTTGTGGTAGAAGAAGCCTTGGGATCGAGTACGGTTCTGTTGCTGCCACTGACAGGTAACATTCTTCAAGTCCAAGGAAAAGCATTGCAGTCCAATTGCCACTGCGGTAAAGAAGTTGACAGTTTGAATGGGGTCATGTGCCCCTACACTACAGAGAATCCAGATCATCTTTATACACAGAACATTTACAACTATTCTTTCTTCTCTTCCTGAGCTAGTTTGTGCCGTGTAATGGCACATTTGAGGTCATCAGGAAGGACCGTGGTTCCCAGAGTTTCCATATCCAGCCTAAGCCTCCTTAGGGATCTTTTATTTTTATTTATTTATTTTTTTGGTACTGGGGATTGAGCTCGGTTCCTTGTGCTTGTGAGGCAGATGGCGGAACCACTGAGCTGAATCCCTGGCCTTAGAGATCTTTTAAAATCCCCTGTCTTCTCAGCTGCTTCACTGACTCACCTGCATCTCCAGGCAGGTCCACAGTCACAGGGAGGGACCAGGATCCCCAGGAGCCACTGAAGGAGATTCCATCAGGTTGGCTGCGCAGCTGGAGCCAGTAAGAATTGCCAGCCTGGAGCCCAGAAATGAGGCAGCTTCCACCCATCACAGGCAGAGGTGGGGCCTGGGAGAAAAGTCCCCGCATCAGATTCTAGGCACACCTTCCAGCCAAGATAGCCTCTGCCTCTTATAGTTGGAGCCCTATGGCGCCTCTGTGCAGCGGTCAGTTCCTTACTTGATACACACACATACACACTGAGGGCCAGTGAGTGGGTATCTGGTGGGGTGCAGAGCTTTTTAGGGAAATCTCCATCAATTTGGAGGCCCAAGGCTCTCAATTTTGTCAGTTTGAATGATGGAAAGTGAGAGGTCCTTAAAGGGATATGGTCCCTAGCGCTTTCCAGAGGCTGTCCTAATTTCTTAAGGACCAACCCGTCTAGAATCTCCAAAGTCTGTGGTTTCCTGGGGCAAAATCAAGGGTAAGGGGTTGAAAGTAGAGCAGAGCAAGGTTAGAATACCTCTCCATTTGGGGAAGTGTGCCTTGGTGGATCCCGTTGAGGTGCTGTGGGTTGAACGCACAGAGGCTGGTCCAGGGCAGAGACTGGGTTCCGCCTCCGCAGAGTGGGGCAGCAGGTCTCTGTGGGGAGTAGCTGCATGACCTGGGGGCCAGTGGCATTCCTCGGGTCCACAGGCCCATAACGGAGTTCGTGCCTCAGGAAGTCACTGATTTCAGGAGCTGGAGCCTCCCAGAGGATCTGAAGTTCCCCTGGTTGGCTCCCGCTCGCAGCTTTGATGATACTGGGGGGAGCTGGCAGACCTGAGGGCAAGACGGGGCACATCAGAACTCAGACTGTGATTCAGCCCATCGATTGCTGAGGAGGGTGCTGGAGACTGAATTGGGGCAGCCTGTGGGATCAAAAAGATCGTACACTGGAGGCGGGGTAGGGTAGGGAGGCTTTGCATCCCTCCTGTTCTTTCCTGGCAAGAACAGTGACCATGCTGTAGTGCGAAGGTTTGTTAGACCCTGTGATCCTTGAAGGCAGGGACCTCTTTTCATTTCTGTATCCTCATCACCTGTCACAGCGCCTGGCACACAGCAGGTATTCTCTAACTATGGAATGTGTGAATAGAAGAAAGTGGTAATGATGGGTGGACTAGGGGGTCCCTGGGGTGAAATGATTTGTGAAGTGGTGGGATGAGTCTAGCTCTGGATGGGGAGTCTGGGAGGGATGATAGGGGGTCTTGAGATGCCTCTGGGGGCCTGACAATGGGGAGGCACTCATGTTGTCTGAAAGATGGCAGACAGGTCCGATTCCAGGCACTGGACCGCAGGCTTCAGACAGAGGGGTTAGAGTGACAGAGCCGCCCTTACCCACAGTATCCACAGACAGCACCCACTCAGTCAGAGTCTGGTTCAGGAACACATTCTTCACCCAGAGGTGCAGCTCAGAGAAGAGGCGTACTTCATCCTGGCCTGGAAACCGGCACATGTATCGGGTTCCAAAGGGGGGCACGCTCTGGGAACTCAGGGGGCAGGCACGGGGCTTCTCTCTGTTGACACAGGAGACATCCTACCTACACAGCCACCATGTTCAGCCCTGAGGACCCTGGTGTGGGCCCATTCCCAACTTCTGTTTCCATTCCTTCCATTCTTCTCACTGCTTGAGGTAGGTGGTATTCATGTTGTATAGGGGCTTGAGTTGGCCTGTTCATAAAGTAGCTACTTAGGGTGTGGACCTGAAATAGTCCTCTGGTAGGGCCAAATACAGGGGCTCTAATGGAGTGGGACTCAGCTGAATGAAGTGCAGGGACAGATATACAGGGAGTGGGGCACAGCCCAGCACCTACCCTGAGTAGGCATACAGCAGCTGATATGTCCCACTGGGTGCTGCCTCTTCCTCATCCCAGAAGCAAGTGAGGTCCTCGAATGTTTGGGAGAAACAGTTGAGGGGCTTTGAGTCCGAGGCCAGCAAGGAGACATCTGAGGAACAGCTGGTGAGTTGGGTTCTGGGTCCTCCCAGGTATGTTTATGAGCTAGAGTCTGGGACCAGTGGGAGTCTACTACCCTACTTCCCCTCCCGAGGATTTGCATCCCCTCCAAGGGCTCCCTCTTCCTGGGCGTAGGTGATCTCCACCCTCTACACACCTCACCTTGGCTGGTGACTTTTGCCAGGTTTTGGGGGGCCAGGAGGAGGCAGGAGGTGACCACAAAGAGGGCCCAGGAGGGCATCTTCTCCGGCACTGTGCCTGCCCTAGCCTTCCCTTCAGGAAGCCGGGCCCCAATCCCCTCCCAGGCCAGCCCCTCAGGTTCCTGTCAGATACAACCCCACGTCCTGTCCCTGTCCCTGCCCCTCTGGGGCCCATCTAGACCACACTGGGGCTAGGGCCCAGGGGAGGGGGAGTGCGCAGGAGGGTAGGAGGGACGTGAAAGAGAAGACATTGGCCTTTTGGTGGGAGGGAATTGGGGGAATATATTTTATATTTGTGTACCAAAAAGAGCATAAGCGAGTATGTTTCTGTGTTAACTATTCTAGCAGGGCACACTGTCACCAAGAAGGGCAGTGTTTACTGAGCTGCCATGTGTTAAGCACTTTGTACCTGTTGACTCAGTCCTCACAATAGCCTTATTATTTCCATTATAAAGATGAGAAAATGGAGGTGCTGAGAAATTGAAGATTTCCTCAGGATCACATATCTCCTAAAGGTAAAACTCGGGATGTCAGCCTTGTAACCCAAGTGCTTAACAGCCGTGCTATGCTCCTTGAAGGTATAATCGGCCAAGAAACAACTGCCTCACAAACATGGCAGATGGCGGGTATTGCCACTGTCAGAAGCTCTTGGACTTTGTGCAGAAATAAACACATGTCCCACCATTGTGGGTGGCCTTCACAGTGGCCCCTGGCTAATCTTCTAAAACTGTCTGTAGACAGCAGCAACAGAACAAGAGCTTGCTAGAAATGCAGAATTCTGGCTGGGTGTGGTAGCACATGCCTGTAGGCCTTGCATTTCAGGCTGAGGCAGGAGGCTCAGGAATGGAATCCCAGCCTGGGCTACCTAGTAAGACTGTCTCCAAAAACCAAAACCAACAAACCAATGAAAAGAAAGAAATGCAGCCCCACCTCAGATGTACTGAAACAGAACCTACATTTATTAAAATGCCCAGATGATTCCATTACATTTTTTTTTTTTTTTTTTTTTTTTGTTGGTTTGAATT